CCCCCCCCCCCCCCCCACTCTCTCCGAGTCCAGCCGCGGGGCCTTAATCTCAATCCTTATGTATAGCTTACTTCCGTCGCGGGGACCATACCAGAGGAAAGCCATATCGTTGCGCCTCGTTTCATTCGGCTGCGAGGAAAATTCAGAAAAATGCCATTTTATCAAATTAGGGCGCTATGTTGGGTTCGCTGTGAGTTGCGGCAGCTGGGTGGGCAAAATAAAAAGGGCGGAGGGGAGTGAGGGGGCGGGGCGGGTGGCGGTAGGTGCCGAACACCGTCATTTCTGCCCCCCCCCCCCCCCCCGGCGGTCCGCGGCCCGCCGCCGCGCCCGCGACCCGCGAGGCCGAGGCAGCTGGCTGGCCTCCTGACACCGGAGAGGCGGTTGGGCGGACGGGACAGGCAGAGCGCTTTTAGTGTTTTTATTTGGGTGTTTCGTCACTCCTTAATTCTGTACTCGCCGGGACGTTTGAGGACGGGATTGGCTGTAAACTAAGTACCGTGAAGACGAATCCGCTCTGGATATTGCTCACCCGGTCAACGTCCTAGCCGAAACAGGCGGTAGATGTGCGAATGTTAAACAGCAAGAGGTGAGATAGAAGAATCGCTCTCATAATTAGGTTATCGGGATAGTAAAGGTCGCGTTTATCCCGTGCTCGTTTTGTGGAAGGTGCTTTCGGCTTGCTTCTCATGTCCATTGGTTTTGCTGACAAGGGTTCTGGAAAACATTTCGGCTGCAATATTAACCCACAGACTTTTAAGAGAGGTTATGTATGTTTGTTTGGATTGTAGTTATATGGGGTGTATATTGTTGCGTCTAGCTGGTGATCCCCTTCCTGATTTGGAGTAACAGTTACTTCTTTAGTCCCAAAACTGTCCACAATTTGACTTTAAATTAAAGTCCTTATTTTTTCTCTCTCCATTAATTGTATACTATAGACGTAAATAATCCAAATTTATTTTGTATTTCCACCTATAGTCCTTCTTCCCTGTACTCTTTTGATAACCTACCTTTGTGTTGGATGTTGTGTCAGTTTAAAATGTATTTTGGCCAGTTGCTTTCTGTGGTGGTCCTGGGTCCTTGTATGGTAGAGCTGATGGTATATTGTGTTAACAGCCCTGCCCTGTGGAGACCTCCCTGAGCAGTCTCAGTCCACACCCTCCACAGGTATCGTCCTATCTGCACATTATTGCATGCATGAATTTATTATTATTATTGTAAAATAAAACAATGTATATAGTGGTGTGTTCTCTATGCCAAATTTCATGAACCGCAAACTTGTGAATCTAGAGTAAGTTTTCTAACAGAGCTATATTCATAGTTTGTTTCTGTTGTAATTGCAAAGCGGAAATAAAGCTCATTAAATTTTCTTTTACTATGTTGGAGTTTTAGCCTTCATTGTTCCTGATTTGTATTTGGCATAAGTAGTTGGTGGCTCAAGCTCACCCTTATGTATCTGAACCCAAGAAGAACAGGCAGTCGCTGAAAGAATATTTCAGCACTAATTTTACAATATTTTGATCCATGCCTTGTTCTCCTCGGGAGATCAATGTAGTAGATTTATAAATTTAAAAAAGTTGAAATCCTGTAATACTTTGGTGGTGTATTTTTGAAGTCCAGCATCTGCTTTGCCCACTTACTGCAATTTTTGGTCTGTGGTGTCTGGCTTTCTCGTGCTGTTTCTTTATTTTCTCCAATGAAGTTTGCAGAAGTTTGCTAACTATGAAATGGGCTATGTTCAAGGAGTTTTAACTTTCTTTTCAGCACAAATCACATCTAACACGGAGTGGTCATATTTTTCTATTTGTGCACTTTTGTCTTGCAACTTGCACTATGGGAGAAAGTGCCTAAGGTTCATAGCGCACCTCATGTACATGTGAAGTGCATCAGGAGCTTAAAGCGAGCACATGTTTAATTTGGAATTCTTGCTTTTGCTTCTAAATCACTGAGAGGGTGACATCATGTGAATGTGGTGAGGGTGACTCTGTTCGACATGGTTTCAGGGACCTCAGGGTCTGGGAATCATGATAATAGAGGGCAAGCATGCTGAAGTGGGCCAAGGAATCTTTATCTCTGACATCCAAGAGGGCAGTGCTGCCGAACAGGTATGCAGCTATTTTCAAAAGATGCATGTTCTACCTTTAAAGAAGAAATTTCAATTTGTATCAATAAATTAAATAATTGGTGAATTTATGAATTTGAATATCTGGATGTTTAGTCGGCATGTTTTTCAAATGTCATTGGTCCCCTGTAGCTTTGCTAAAGTTCTAATCCTCTCATCATTTGAGTATTCTCTTCCTAGCTTTATTGTCTGCATCATAAACATTTCCGTAGTGACTCTTAGCCATTCCTCAGGCCTTATATTTTACTTCTGTGAAAAAACATTTTGCAGTGATGCTGACCCTAGCTGTTTACAACTACATAAACCTTGTGGCATGCCCTCTTCTGCGTACTCTGTTATGTGATCTCAAGGATGTGCATAGTTTTACATAGGTTTGGAAATTTTAATATCTCTTGTATGGATTCCTTCTCTGCAAGCATTGCACATTCACGCATGAGGCTGCATCCACTTAGAATACTTACTAATGAAGCTTTTGTCAATATGCTCAATGTCATAAGTTTGCTATGTTTCACATCTTAAAAACCAGTATGCTGCTAATAAGTAGTTAGAGAAATTTTTGTAGAAGCACTATAACATCTATTAATAGTGATAAATTTAACATCATTAAACTGAAATTTGGTGTGCAGGCGGGGCTAACTGTTGGAGATATGATCCTGGCAGTCAATAAAGATTCTCTCCTTGGCTCAAATTATGATGCGGTAAGTTAAGAGCAAAATTTGCGGTGTTCCTAAATCCCTTCTTTTAATTTGAATTGTAATAAAAATGTTTTTTATTCAACATTGTTAGGCTGCGTCATTACTAAAGGAGACCAAAGGAATGGTGAACCTAGTCGTTTGTAATCCTAATAAAGCCAAGGAAGAAGAAGGAAAAGGTGCTGATGGAAAACTAAATGCCAAAGGTTCCACGGCACGTAGCCCTACTCCAACTCAACCAGCTGCTCCTGAAAAGCCAAGTATGTTTCATCCTCTTTCCCAACCTAAAATAACTATGTTGCCATCAACATACATATATAAACATTCAATGATGTGGTCTAAATTAATCTATCAGTACCAAAGCAAAGCTGAAATATGCCATTAGTGCAACAGGAGTAGTGCATGTATATCAGCAAATGCATGCACCGTGTTCATTGTAACAATGTGCATTTGTAGCTTATTTGTCAGACATTTTGCTTTAAAGGAGAAAAAATTGTTTGGTTTAGGTCCTTGTTTTTTGTTGTTTTTTTAAATCAGTATTACATGTTCAGTGCCAAGCCATTTTAAACCAGGTCATTTGACAACAAGGTGGTCGTGTGGCACTGAATGTGTTCATTCTCATATTGACAAGATGTGTGGCTGTAGAAATCTACAAATCATCCTGATTGCATTATATCAGTGCCCTTTTATTGGTCACCGTTTATTCCAAGGAAAGTCTGCTTTGAAAATTGATTGAAACTATCATAGACTAAAATTGATATTCTAAGTGATAGTTATTTACGAATTACATCAAACCTAGACCATGTACTTGAGTGTAGAAAAGAACTTAGCTCTCAATGTCCGAATTTGCATTCGCTAATGCCAGTGTGATATATTTTTTCTGTGCTTTGCCTCATCATTGTGGATATGGCATCTGCATGTGAGTATGCTTGTAGCCCAGGCTGAAATATTGCTGAAATAATGCTCTTCTATCAGAGTTTTATGCAGTTAAACTTCACAATTGAAAGTTGACATCTATCAAATAAAAAACTAAATGGTATTTAATGAATGGTTGCTGGTCAAATCTTCCATATGTATATGGTTATTATAATTCCAAAATTTTTGTCTCTTTTGCCTATTTGATTATCCGATACTTTCCAACTGAATAATGAAACTTTTAAAAAGAACATGGTTACTGCCTCTCAATTTCAAGCTTTCAGAAAAACTTCTGTAAACTTTTTTTTTGTATGGATTTTAATTTTTTTTTCTATCTATTCAGGATTGCTGGACTCACAAAACGTTACTGTTCCTGCATCGTCACGTACCGCTCATCATTCTCCTTCTCGCCATCCAGAACAACCAGCACTTCCCCCAGCTACTGCTCCTGTTGTTGCTGGACAAGAAACAACAATTGAAATAGCAAAGGAAGAAAAAGCCCTAGGAATCTTTGTTGTTGGTGGCTCTGATACTCCTTTGGTAGGTTGACCCATAGTTGTACCGTACTACCCTTCTATTACTGTAGTCAGTTTTTTAAAATTATTTTCATAATTATTAGTATTTTTTTAAAAATTTACTGATGTCTATATTTGCAGGGGGTAATTGTGATCCATGAAATATACCCTGATGGTGCTGTTGCAAAGGATGGAAGATTAAAGGTCGGTGACCAAATTTTGGAAGTGGGAGGACCTAAAGATTCTGTGACACACGATTTCCACAGCATTACACATGCTAAAGCTATTGCTGCTCTTCGGCAACTACCAGCTAAAGTAAGAGTTTGAGTCTTTTTGCAACAACGTAAGACTTTAAGTTTTTATTTATTAAACTTATTTTTTTTTTTTTGAAATGACAGGTGAAAATGATTGTTTATCGTGATGAAGCAGTTGAAAAAGAAGAGGACATTTATGAGTCCATTGAAGTTGAATTGACAAAGAAGTCTGGTAAAGGATTAGGGTTAAGCCTTGTTGTTCGCAAGGACGGGAAAGGAGTTTATATTTCTGATTTGGTAAGCTTTCGAAACGATTAAATCCAGCAGTAGTGGTTACTGTGGCAATTTTACAACACAGTTCGTGCACAGGTTCATGGAGGTGCTGCTGAGGCAGATGGACGCCTAATGAAAGGTGACATGATTCTATCTGTTAATGGACAAGATTTAAAAAGTGCATCTCAAGAGGAAGCTGCTGCAGTTCTCAAAACAGCACTTGGCAAGGTCACTGTCAAAGTAGGAAGAATTAAGACCGGTAAAATCAAGTGAGTACATTTTAGCTACATAATCTAATTTCTAAATTCATTCTTTTCCCTTAAGATTTGTCTCATATTTTTTTAAGTTACCATTGCATGCTTTTAAATCTGAAGTGCTCTCGCTTAGTATAGTAAGTCTGATGTATGTTATAGTCTCGCATGGAAAGTAAATTTTTGTTTTATGTTTGTGCACGTATGTTTGCATATATTATTACTAGTACCTATTTGCTTCTCTTGGTGCAACTATAATTTGCCTTGTAGTCGTATTTGTTTTATTCTCAGATTCCAATACATCAAGATACCTAAAGCCCACTTTATGCTAATAGCAAAACCAGTGCAATGTGGATGATATATATTCTAAGATCAGATATTTATTTCTAGCGAGAGGTCCAAAACAAGTGTCCCTGTGCCCGCCGCCCCAACTGCACCCGAAGGGACTTTGCCAGCCCCTGCCACCTATTTTACAACTATCCCAGACTCTCACCTCATCTCTTTTCCAACAGACGAACCCAACATTTTGGTTTCTCCAAAACGATCCTCTAGTTTTCGTAGGCTAATGACACGTTGGTCGTTTCGCAGACGGAAATAAATGTAGTAAATTTTCTAGTACATACATTCTTTAGACAAGACCTTATGGAAACTACTTTTGCTCAGAAATAACTAGTGTACGAAAAGGGGCTAAAAAAGCCTAGTATAAAGAAACATTACTGTGATTTCCAGTTTAAACAATTCTCCTGTGATTTTGTAAGTCTTTTCATTGGATAGATCAAAATCAGATAAATATTTTAACAGTGTCACATCTTTTAAAGTAATATCTAAGCTAAGATGTGCTAAAAAGCTTAATATACATTTGGTTCATTATCTTACACTTCCATACAGGGTAGCTTTTTGTTTAGATGGGTGTTGAGTGTTTTTGTGTAGACTTGTATAACCCAGATATGCTGATTGTTTAAAGAGTGCTAAGGCTTGTTTGATGCTGTTGTTTTTTTAATAAGTATGGGACTTGTAACTTATTTTCTGAACATCAGTAACTGTAGTATCTATCTATGACGTACCAGAATATTTCTTTGACCAACAACTTGTTAAAGATGCAGTTTGTTTGTTTTTTCAACTATCTAATCAAGTTTTAACACAGTGCACACAGTGCATGTTCTCAGTCAAACTTTTTTGTTACTTCCAGTCTGCATTATTGGAAATGTATTGTATTTGTCTTATGCATGTTTTGCTCATGTGTATGTTGTAGCCTATGTTATGTATAGTTAGTTATGTACTTTTGTCTTGCCTTTTAGTGCTTTGGCTAGGTTGCCTTTATTTGCCGAATTTGGGCTACCGAAAGTAGTTAACAGTTTTAGGAATCGGTGACATTGTACTAAGCATAGCTTAGCACCTTGTGGAACAATGTTCCTTTATTAGAGGATTTTAGCCTAATTGGTGCTTTTGTACCACAGAACTTTTATGAACTTGTAGAATTGCTGTGCTATTTATTTGATATTTATTTTCTTATTTGAGTTTCATTTCTACAGTTTGATTAATTATTTTGTGATACATGTAGGCCAATCTAGTTTCTGAAATGGGGACTGTGTAAATCAATGGTAAAAATCAATGTGTAAATCAAATGGGATTAAGTAGTGATCAAGAGCTAAATATGCATTGTTAAGTGCAAATTACAACGGTGATACGTATTTTGTGATTTTTTAAAATCTTTTTTTAAAATCTTGCCAAGAAAGTCTTTCTGTATATTGTGCATACAGTTCTGTCAACTTGTTTTCTAGAAGCATGTGCTCTGTCTTAAACATGAAATCAGGTGATATGGGTCTATCTCTTATTGATAGTAGGGATTATGAGTATGGTTTTAGATGTTTAAATGTTTATCTCAAGGTATGCTATGTTGACACATACATATTTCTATTTATTATTTTTTGTTTGTTTCATGGCTGTCCTTGTAGGAAATAAATGAGGTAAGTTCAGCTGCTTTTAAGAAATACTTTTACAAACTTATAGACTCAAACAAATCATGCACAAAATGATGTAATAATTCCTATCGTTGTTACTTAAGGATCTTAACATTAAACTGTTTTTAATCATCTAAGTTTACCTTGACACTTGTATGTACAGGGTCGCAGCTCTTCACCACATCCTTGAAAGAAGATCTGTACTGATACTATTTCATAGAGTTTTGTCCTCATCCGACTTCAGTTAGTGGCTATATGTTAGTTTGGAGGACTTCAACTTAGTTATTGTTAAGGCTGTGTACTTTTTAAAAAAAATAATTAAATTTGATCTCTTTATTGGTACTAACATTTGTTTAGAGATCAGAGTCTTTCACATTCAGAAAACCATGTGCGAAATTGGTTTAATGACCTCAGAAATGGTCAGTCACTAATCCCAATCTTTGTTAACGACTATACTTGTATTAAAGATCCCCGACCATTTCCCAAAAGAGATGGTTTTTTCTTCCCAGCTAGATTAAATATACATGCAGTGGTTGCTGGGACCGACACTGATAGGGGCTATTCACATCGGACTCAATGTGCGTTCTGGAATTAGCAGAGTCCTATTTGTCTGAAGTATTTAGAAAATTAATGAACATTTCTAAAATTTCTAATTTTGCTTTATTTAAAATGCTGATTATTTTAAAGGAAGTTAAAAGCACCCATTGTGATAACAAATCTATGTTCATTTCTCCTTGATTCTAGAGCTATTTCAAATTTTCAGTTTGTAGGCTTTTTGAGATTGTCTGCAAAGAATGTGAGAGAATGATAACTTAAATTTAGGTAGTACTGGCAGTCGATGATGACTTATAAAACCTCTTATCTTCAGCATTTTGTATTTTCATGAAGCGGCAATCACGCTTGATTAAGAGTAATTTCTAAACTTTTTGATCATATGAATGTATGTGAGCCTTTCATAGTAACTGTCAATGATACAATCATTGCAGTATGACTGGTTTTGTTTCCTTTAATGGTTTTTGTCTTAAAATACAAAATTGTTCTAAGTAAGTGAAAAGTCGCGACAAAATGCCTCTGTGATAAATTCATTGTGTTTTAAAGTGGTAATATATGAGATCTACGCTACCTTGTCTATGTCATGTTCTAAGAACATGTATGTACTGTGTTTCAGAATCTGGTGGACAGTAAAGTTTGTGAACTCTTGAGTGATGTGATTTAATGTGTAGGGATGTAATTAATTCATTATGGTGAGATGCAAGTGTTAATAAATAAATACTGGTTGTTTGATCTATGTATCTTCAATTCATTTTGATTTTTACTTAATCGAATTTATGTACTTTAAATTTTTTCCTTGAGGCTCTCCTATGTTTTGATATATTCAAAGGGATCAAATTCTACCTAAAATATACTATGTACTCACCACTGATTGATCATTTCATGTAAAAGCCACCTCTTAGTCAACTTACCTTTTGTCTTCTATACCCTTTCTCTAACAGAAACTTGCATCTCTTCCAACCTCTGCGACGGTATTAGGGAATATCACAAATGAAGTCTTGTTTGCTGATTCATCAGTGATGTGTGAGTTGTATATAATAGGTCTCTCAAAAAATTACATACTTTCTCCTTTCCTCTTTCCCCTTAGCTAAGTCAATGGGGGTTTAGATGTATCATTGCTGTAAGGAATTAGTGTAAGTAGAGTATATTGTCTCTATGTCACCTGTTGAGACGTTGTCTTGTGCAAGGAGACAATAATGGTGCGTGCAGTAGGGGTGTTGAGGACCAAGTGCACAAGCCTGTCACTGATTTGTCTTCCTAGACAGAATTCCTATTGAGTAGCTAAACCAAACTGCATTATTACAATTAAAGATGGCCTATTGTCTTCTGTCATGTTTGTATAAGGTCGTTGTATTTTGATACAAGATTCAATTTCTTTTGAAGCCTTGCACTAATTTGACAAATGTAATATGATATGCAGTTTGTTATTCTTGATTTAAGACAGATATGTTTGGAAATATTTTCCTCCAATTACCAACTTAAAGACAAAGGCTATGTCACTTTCATAATATTTAAATATGCTGCATTTCTAGGTGTTATATTTGCCACTGTTCATTTTGTCAATGGACCATTTCTAAATTCTGACAGTGCATAAATTTAAAAAAAATGAAACAAGGATTTCTTTTCAAATTAATTTTGAATGGGACCACTGTTGCAACTTGACTTCACATTGAGTTAAAAATTCATGATGGTGATGATAATTATGGAAGCACCTTCCACCTTCTTACCTTACGTTAATGATCATTTAAAATTCCACTCTTTTTGTTTTTGGAAAAAAATTATCCACATTTTTAGTGATTATATAAACAAGTTTGATGTCATTCATTTTGGAAGTTTTAAATGTTTTCTTATGGTTTACATAAATAAATGGGTGCATAGACGAATTTGCATTCTTGTTAGTAGCAGTAAGGTTATACTGACAAATTAAATTATTTCACTGTTGCTATTTTTTAAGATGTGTATAAATTCATAATTGACTCATGAATATAATCAATTTTTTGCAAGATCTGAGATCTGTTGCAATGCATAGGGCTAAAGCACATAACTTGTACAGAAATAAAATAAGAAATGGTACCAACATGTACAGATTTGTTTCTTAGAATCATGTTATGAAATATGTTATTTTATTCATAATTTTTGCTAGCTAATAATTAACTTAGGTATAGATTTTAAGTTTATACCACTGTTGATCATATCAAAGTTTATCATCATATGTAGAGGAAATTTGCACAGGAATGCTGGCTCTGCTTTATTGCAATTTCTAAGTTATTAATTAAGCTACTTAGTCTGTAGATGCAATAACTGCCATTTCATACTTTATAGATTTAAAATGTTTGTTAGTGATACATTGTAATACAATCAGCACTGTTTGCATAACAAAATGCAAGAAAAATTATGGTTGTATGTCCTTATTAAATTTTATTATGACTGATACTTCATTTTTATTTTTGCCTCGCTATTACACTTTCACATGTTAAGCCTCATATCAAACTTTCTTAATCATAGTTTGGGCTGGCAGTTCACTCAAAAGCCCAACAACACCTTGGATAATGATACTATCATGAACAGGCAGCTTCATCCGAACCGACTCACTCAAAATGTCGCTCGGAGACAAAGGTCTAAGTCAGGAAAAATATATTTTTTTTTTTTCAATGGGGGAGTGCATTATTCCTCATTCCCCGACTATAGAAGATATTTTTTCGACTCTCCCAGGGTGTAAGCAGAAGCCAAGTTCCTGCTCTGACGTCCCTGTTTGTAGCTACACGATTGTAGCAACAGCCTACAGGGCCCGAGTCAGCTTAAATTGAACCGTCTATAGACGAATTCATTACTTCCGCCAATGCTAGAATATCAACCAGAAGTAAACAGCTAGCGCTAAGAACTAAAGCGAAAACGAAAGCCTCTCCAAAGCTCTCGCCTTGTCCAAGCGCTCGGAGGGAGGGACAGGGGGCCGCGCGGGCCCTATTCAGGAAAGCATTGCCTACCCCTTCGCCGCAAACTACTAAATAGGAAAAAATGAACCTCGGACAGTATTCGAACCGACAACCATCCGCGTCCCGAGCGCGCGCTCTCCCAACTGAGCCAATGATGAGGGTTTTGCATAGGTGAAGCTTATCTCCGCTCTGGCTCTCAC